AAATAATTTTATGGTTGGGTCACAACATGAGGAACTGTATTTAAAGGGCCAGAAGGTTGAGAACCACTGCTCTAGGGGCAAACCCATTTCCTGTCTTTTCCAGCTTCTGGTGGCTGCTGCTATCCCTTGGCTTGTGGCTGCATCACTTCCATCTATGCCTCCATGATCACACTGCCTTTTCCTCTTATGTCTGTGTCAAATCTTCCTCTTCCTTTCTCTTTTAAAGATACCTGTGACTACATTTAGTTAAATTCAGCAATGCTGGTGTTCCCCACAATGGAGGGATGGTCCTCAGATAGTACTGTCCTGGAAGTGTGGCCCAAAGGTGGCTGTTCGGCATTTTCTTTCTTTCTTCCTCTTTTTTTTTTTAAATTATTTATTGATTTGAGGGGGGGAGGGAGAGAGAGAGAGAGAGAGAGAGAGAGAAACATCGTTGTTACACCTATTTATGTATTCATTGGTTGATTCTTTTTTTTTTTTTAAGAGAGAGAGGAAAAGAAAGGATAGAGAGATAGAAACATTGACGAGAGAGAAAGTCATCAATTGGCTGCCTTCTGCTTGGCCCCCAAAGGGTATCAAGTCTGCAACCCAGGCATGTTCCCTGACTGGGAATTGAACCGGCAACCTCTTGGTTCCTGGGTCAATGCTCAACCGCTGAGCCACACCAGCCAGGCCATTGGTTGATTCTTGTATCTGCCCTGACCAGGGATCAAAACCGCAACCTTGGCGTATTGGGATGACATTCTAACCAAGTGAGCTACCTGGCCAGGGCCTGATTGACATTTTCAAAGCAAAGCAAAACGTGGACTCGTTCACTTACTTCATTCACCCAAATGTACTGTGTGCACTATGAATGACAGGCACAGTTCTAGGTGCTGGGGATTTCAGCAAGACAGATAACATCCTTGCTCTTGTGAAACTTACATTTTAATGAAGGAGATCGATGATAAATTTAAAGCATATTTCTATAAGTGTTGCCGGTTCAAGATCCATGTACCCAATGTTGCAAAAAGCCAATATTCAAAATGTCAGTTGAGCCCTAACCGGTTTGGCTCAGTGTATAAAGCATCGGCCTGCTGACTGAAAGGTCCCAGGTTCGATTCCAATCAAGGGCATGTACCTTGGTTGTGGGCACATCCCCAGTAGGGAGTGTGCAGGAGGCAGCTGGTCAATGTTTCTCTCTCATCGATGTTTCTCTCTATCCCTCTCCCTTCCTCTCTGTAAAAAATCAATAAAATATATTTTTTTAAAAATGTCAGTTGAGCTTGCTTGAGGGGATATGTGGAGGCCGGTGAGTGTGGCTGTTGTGGTGTAGGCGGGAAGAAAATGATGGGAGACAGGGAATTTGCAGATGGGTCAGCTCATGTAGGCATGCTTGCTTCCACGGTGTGACAAAGATGAATAGGCAGAACTATCTGGAAGGACACACAGTTGCCTCTGGAGACGGAAGTCTGCAGTTGGAAGAAGACGAACTTTTTTCTGTGTATTCCTTTGAAAGCTTTGCATTTTCAAAATATGTGTGTGAGTTACTTTTTTACTTAATTGACTAAAATAATTTAAAATAAAAATTCTAATTTTTGAAGAAGTAACATAAAATAAAAAGCAAAGGCTGACTTGCAGCTGGGGTGCAGTGGAAGGAAGGGCCACAGTGTGTCCACCCTGCTGACAGGGCACCTGGGGGGCAAATAAGTTTGCAGCAACTGGACTGTTCCGAGAGAGAAACCGGGATCTAGAGAGTTTCTGAATAGGATTGGGGTGTGATGGGGAGAGGCTGTGACTAATGAAATAAACGCCAATCCCAAATGGGGCCTACAGGCTTCAGGGAGTGAGCCCGCCCTGCCTCTTAGAGAACAAAGATGACTAACCGCTTCCTAAAATATTAAAGGAACTTTCCATGTGGTCTGTTAAATTCATCTACACCTTTATTCTCCAGATACATTTTTAGAAAGGGTGTGTGTGTGTGTGTGTGTGTGTGTGGTGCAAGCTTTGCCAAGCTCATCCCAGCTTTGCAGGGACAGGAAGAGAGGCCTCCCACGCCTCCCCCTTTGCAGGATAGAAGGTGGGAGGGTCCACACAGCTCCCTGGAGCTTCTCCCTCTCTGCTCCCTTAATGAGGCTTTCCCTTGGCAGCCAGGGTCCTGCCCACAAATTTGTTTTCTAAATGACCACTCCCGGGAGGGGAGCAGAGGCGTCTGGGTGCCTCTTCCTGGCCTCCCTCTGGTCCTCACCCTCTACATCCTGCATGTCTCAAAAAGTGAGGACTGAGGCAGAGATCATGCTTTGGGGGCTCTATTCTCAGGCTTGCAAACCCCCAGAAGCTTGGGACACCTGTGACTGGGACCCTCCCAATCCCACCTTTCTCCCCACTTCTGGTTAGGAAACAAAATATCAAGTTTGCCTTTAAAAACAGTAAGCTGCTGTATATGTATTTTACGTCAATTAAATAAAAAAGGCAAAAAACCAAAACAAACAAAAACCTTACTAGGTAAAGCCCTGGCATGGAGGGCAGTGGCTTGTAGTCAGTCATTCAACAAGACTGAAGGGAAGGCCTATGTGCCAGGCATGGGACTCATCACTTCCCGGCACTTACAGAGCTTACATCTAGCAAGGGAGACAGACAATACACTGTAAACCTAACAAATAAGCCCCTTGTATAGTACATGTAAAGGTGTGAGTGCTGTGGGGGGAAATGGAGACAAGGGAGGGCGGTTGGGAGGGCCGACTGGGGCGGTGCCCTGGAGTTCTCCTTGGTTAGAACAGAACAGACCCAGCAAGTGTGGCCTCGCTGGGGCCTGGCAAACAGAAGGTGCTCCATGTAGTTAATTTCCTTCCACTTTTCTGTGCCTGAAAAGTCTCATACCTGCGAGTTTGAACTTCACCCTTTATACACAGCAAGCAAATGACAGCCACAGGCTGAATAGAGGTGAACAATATAAGAAAACTACACCACAGTTAGGATCTTATTTTGGTGGTATTGCAGGGGGGCAGCACTTACCAACCTAAAGAATATATATTATGGCCCTGGCTGGTTTGGCTCAGTGGATAGAGCGTTGGCCTGCGGACCGAAGGGTCCCGGGTTCGATTCCAGTCAAGGGCACATTCCTCGGTTGCAGGCTCCTTCCAGCCCGGGCCCTGGTCAGGGCGAGTGCAGGAGGCAACCAATCAATGTGTTTCTCTCACATTCATATTCCTCTCTGTCTTTCCCTCTCTCTCCCACTCTCTCTCTCTGAAAATCAATAGAAAAATATCCTCAAAAAAAAGAAAAGCAAAGAAAAAGATCCTCAGGTGAGGATTAAACAAACAAACAAACAAAAAAACAAAAAAAAACTACTCAATTTAATAAGTGAATTCAGCAAAGTTAAAAAAAAGAATATATATCATATTCTTTTCATTATACAGGGGTGGGCAACAGTAGGTTTACAGTTGTGAGTATACAAAACACAGAGTTTAATCTTGTGTTATTATTTATTCTTGTGTTATATACTTTTCCATACAAACAACTGTAAACCTACTTTTGCCTACCCTATATATAAATATAAAGCAAGTTTCCAGCACTGGGAGGCAATACAAGGCTGTAAGTCCCATATGCCTAACAATGGACTTAGGCTAAAAAGGATTGACGTGAGCTCAGGAACTCCTTTTAAATATATTTTTATTGATTTCAGAGAGGAAGGGAGAGGGGAGAGAGATAGAAACATCAATAATGAGAGAGAATAATGGGGATCGAGCCCGCAACCCGGGCATGTGCCCTTGACTGGAATTGAACCTGGGACTCTTCAATCCTCAGGCTGACGCTCTGTCCACTTGGCCAAACCAGCTAGGACAGGAACTCCTTTTAAAGTGTACCTTGGTCTGAGTGGGGTAACATGCATGTATGCATATGAAAGAAATCATGGAGCTGTAGCTTCAGACTTGTACATTTTTATAGAGGTACATTATACCTCAGAATTAAAAGGAAGATGTGGTTGCTGAGGAACTCCTTTTAAAGTGTACCTTGCCTGGGTGGGGTTACATGGATGTATGCATATGAAAGAACTCATGGAGCTGTAGCTTCAGACTTGTACATTTTTATAGAGGTACATTATACCTCAGAATTAAAAGAAAGATGTGGTTACTGTTGTCCTTGAACTTAGGTACTGCTCCCGTGCTGGCAGTTCCTCAGAACTCAGCCTTGTACTGAGAGAGGGCCCTTCAGCCTGGGCACAGGCAGGGCAATGGTGTGTAGTCAGTCATTCAACAAGTCTGGAAGGAAGGCTTATGTGCCAGGCTGCAGGCTGCAGGGGGATCTGCCCAGGGACATCTGCAGGGGACAAGCCTGCGATCACACTGCCTTCACTGACATCCCGGCCTTAAGGGCCCTGGGCTGGAGGTGGGCGGGGGAGGGGGTACCGCATACCCACACAGGAAACAACAAAGCTAGTCCTGGCAAGGCCGCTGGGTCTCAGGGGCAAAGCTCTTATCGGGCTGAGAAGGCACATCTTCCCTGCTTCCCAGCATCTACAACAGGCAGCTGCTGAGTAGTAGCAAGGTCATGGGATAGTCTCAGGCTGGATGGGAAGTGGCTGTTTGCACCCAAGAGGACAGCTGGCTGCGTAAACATGGAGCCACCCGTCATCTCCCTCTCACCCTGTGTCCCTCTGTCTCCCAGAGATCCTTTATCTCTTTATCTCTCCCAGAGACTCTGCGACTCTTTCTGCCACACAAGACACAGTCAGGGTTCTACACCTTCTTTAGCAGATTCCTAACACCCGTCTGAGGGGGCACGGAGACCCGAAGGATCCACAGGTCTCCGTGGGTGCAATGTTAGACACTTCACATCATGAACCCTCAGAGATTTCAGTTGTTTGTTTTTACTAGAAAAGCCTAGAGCTCATCCCTTGGAAGGATGAGCTCTAGGCATGGTCGGAAGCTGCAGCACCAGAAGCCTAAATAAAACCGGCAGGCGCAGGGGCGTGGCCGCCCTCTCGGGCACTCACTGGTGCTTCGTGTTCTTCTCTGCAGGAGGCAGTGTCCCGTCGCCCAGAAGAAGGCCAGTTGGCCCGAATCCAAAATGTTGTCCAGCAGCTTCCCCCGTCCCATTATAGGTAAGAATCCCCGATGAAGGAAAGTCTAGCCCGTCAGTGTGGGTGTAATACCGCAGGCGCATAAAAGGGAACAGATTTGGTGGACAGTGGCTTGCCTGGGGCTTTCCGAGTGGAGGAACAGGTCACTTTTCTCAGAGTGAGTTGGCGTCTGGCTGGGAACACTGATGGGAAGGGGCGGCCCATGTCCCAGTTACTTACAGAATACCCCTCAGAGTCCCACCCCGATTCGGATCACATGAGGATAGCCTCACAGTGATATCCTAGGTTCTTACCCAGATTCATAGAGGAACCAAATCCGTGGGATCCGAGATGGTTTTAAAACAGGCTCTGGCATTTGGCTGACAGATCTCTCTATCTGAGCATCAGCACCATCCCTGACATCACCCCATCCTTTCATTTCATTCTCACCAGTTAGCCCCTAATCTTACCGTCTTCCCCAGTGTTCCCTAAGCCTGCCCACCTGTTACACGAGGCCAGATTTTGATGTGGCATAAGGAAGAACTTTCTGGCAATAATAGGTGTTTTTCTTCCAAGACCGCTCCCCTTCCCCACCCTGGGCCAACATGCTGAGGGTTGAGAAAATTACTTCCGCCAATCTTGATATTCTCCTGCTATTCCTTCAAAAGTCACGAGAGAGAAATATTTATTTAGTCTCTTAAATCCAAACTTGGAATTACCTCCAGGCTTCACACGGGCCCTAGAGTTTCTTACTTTGTAAAAATAAATAAAATGAACCATTACAGGACCTTGGAATACCTGATTCGACACCTGGCCCACATCGCCTCCTTCAGCAGCAAGACCAACATGCACGCCAGGAACCTGGCCCTGGTGTGGGCGCCAAACCTCCTCAGGTAACCACCGCACCCTCGCCTTCTTCCCACCCCAGTGGGCTCAAAGCAGCCCACTGATCAAAATAAAGACTAGATTCTTCGAAATTGAAGCCCCTTGAAGACACACCTGTAGCTAATGGTATTTTGTAGCACCGGTGGATTAAATGTGATTTTAAAAGCCCAGGTTCTTTGCCTGCTAACCTGGAAACTCTGGGTTCCAGAGGCATTTTTTTGGCTACCACCAGAATGTGACTAAAGTTATGGGTCTGTATGTTATAATTTCTTAAAAGGACCTGTCTTGTCTCTGTGGCTCATTGGCTTTTATTGGTTGTGGTGGGGTCACAGCTGGCTATCACCTGAATCAACTGCTTGATATGACTTCATAAATGATGAGCTGCCCCACAGAACAATTGGGTGGGGGTGGAAGGAGATCTGATTTTTTTTTAAAGCAATTCCTGTATATTCGCTAAAATAGTGTTATAGTCTTGCATTGTCTGTAATTTCTGGTAATTGTTTTAAATTTGTTCAGTGTGTTGGGCTTCACAGCCTTTGGACAGTCCCTTTAATCGGTCTTAATAGTTAAAATATTATACAGATTAACAAACTGTATACATTGAAGAGATGATGGGGCTTGTACAAAAGGCCCACTGGCTCCCCCTTACTGCTCTAGGGCTGACTCACTGAGCTGAATGTGTTTCTTCCTCGATTTAGGTCCAAGGAAATCGAAGCCACTGGTTGCAATGGAGATGCAGCCTTCCTCGCTGTCCGGGTCCAGCAGGTGGTGATTGAGTTCATATTGAATCATGTGGATCAAATCTTTAACAATGGTGCACCTGGGTCTCTGGAGAACGAAGGTAACGGCTCCTCCTGGCATACACCCCACCACCCCATCCTCCTTCCTTGCCTTAGTCACAGGGCCCAAGAATAAGTTAGGGTGGCCTCGGTCTTAGCTCTGAGTGTTGGCACTGTGTATGTGCTGATTAGTGTGTGTGTGTGTGTGTCAGTGTCTTGGGATTGTGCATGTATACATCTGTATGTGTGCAGCAAAGATGTGATGTGTTTGCAGGTGGCTGTAGCAGGTTTCTGATCAGCTGCATATTTGGACTATCCCGTGAGTGTAGCATGGTGAACCATAATAATGTTCTATTGGTTTTAATAAGATCTCAAACTGTTTATTATCTAGAGGCACTGCCAGCTTTCCTCTCTTTAACTATTAGATTTCATCTTTACTTTCAGTATGATATATTTCAGAAGACCCTTATGCCTTCATCTTGAAATCTTGAGTGAATGAGTTAAGAGGCAGCATGTTCAGACTCACATGCATATTCAGAATGCATTTACTTCTCAAGCATTTCTTGAGTGCGTAGTTTGTTCTGCCTTCTACCAGGTACTATGCATATAAAAATTAGTGTGTGTTCATAGGCACATGTATGCAGAGACTAGTTAGCATACACTGTAGCCATATTAGTGAGAAAGATAGAGCTATTTCAGGTTGGGCGTTATGGGATGCAAAATATTATATTTCAGTCCTATCACTCTTTTAATGGCACAGTGAACCCTGGGAATGAATTGGATAATGTTGTTTGAACTCATGTGAGCCCAGTTTTTTAAAAAACAGAAATCCAGTTGACCAAGAAGCCTGGGAGAAGATGGCGGCGGAGTAGGTGGAAGTTGCACTCACCGCCTCCCAGGCCCAAACTGGAATTGCAACTAAACTATAGAACAATCAACCTGAGTAACTAACTGAACAGAAGTCTTGTAACCAAGGATTTACAGAAGAAGCCACATTGAGATTGGTAGGAAGGGCGGGGACACAAAAAGGGCTTTCCCCACACATACGTGCAGTGGCTGAGAATCCGGACGGATACCTCACCTGCAAACGTTCCTCCTGAGGAACATGGAGGCCTTAACCCCGCACTGGGCTCCCAGCCCAGAGCAACAGAGCCGGGAGGGCCTTAACATGGGGGCCGCACTGGGCTCCCAGCCCAGAGCAACAGAGCCGGGAAGAGGTGCCTACATAACATCTGACTGTAAAAATCAGTGGGGATTCAGTCCACCTGGGAGAGATGGAAGTCTGCTAGAGACCTAGGTGCCCAGCTCACAAAATCTTATTTGCAGCTATTCACTTAGGGCTCCAGCAGAGGGAGGACAGCTCAGAGTGGACTAGAGCCGTGGTCGGCAAACTGCAGCTCGCCAGCCACATGCGACTCTTTGGCCCCTTGAGTGTGGCTCTTCCTAAGCCTTAGGAGTACCCTACTTAAGTTAATAACAATGTACCTACCTACATAGTTTAAGTTTAAAAAATTTGGCTCTCAAAAGAAATTTCAATCGTTGTACTGTTGATATTTGGCTCTGTTGACTAATGACTTTGCCGACCACTGAACTAGAGTCTTTTGAGGACAGACTGGGTTGTACGGTTCTGGGCAGAAAGCTGAAGGGACAGCCACCAGCGTCCCTTGCTGAGTCCCTCTCCTGTGCCACCCAAGACACCATCTTTCCTGAGTTGAGTGCTCCCCTCTAAACTGCTGATTTCTCAACTGAAATATTTCAGGCCAGAGGGATTGGCATGAAATATTTAATGTGATGAAAAGCAAGGACCTACAACCAAGACTATTTTACCCAGCAATGCTATCATTTAAAATAGAAGGCAATGCCCTAGCTGGTTTGGCTCAGTGGATAGAGTATTGGCTTGTGGACTGAAGGGTTCCGGGTTCCATTCCAGTCAAGGGCACATGCTTGGGTTGTGGGCTTGATCCCCAGTGTGGGGCGTGCAGGAGGCAGCCGATCAATGATTTTCTCTCATCATTGATGTTTCTATCTCTCTCCCTCTCCCTTCTCCAATAAAAATATATATAAATAAAATAAAAGGCAAAATAAAGAGCTTCCCAGCCAAAGAAAAACTAAAGGAGTTCATTACTACCAAACCAGTATTACAAGATATGTAGAAGAGTTTTCTTGAAGAAAAAGAAAGAAAAATAGGGGAAACATAGTTATAAAGAATAAAATGGCAATAAATGTGTACCTAGCAATAATCACTTTAAATATAAATGGGTTAAATGTTCCAATCAAAAGACATAGGCTAGCTGAATGGATAAGAAAACAAGGCACATGCATATGTTGTCTACGAGAGACCCACCTCAGAATGAAAGATACACACAGACTAAAAGTAAAGGGATGGAAAAAGATATTTCATGCAAATGGAAATGAAAAAAAAAAAAGCTGGGGAAACAATACTTATATATGACAAAATAGACTTTAAAACAAAGGCTATAGTAAGAGACAAAGGACACTACATAATGAAAAAAGGACCAACCAACAATAGTAATATAACCCTTATAAATATTTATACACCCAACATAGGAGCACCTAAACATATAAAGCAAATACAGTCACAGTAAGGGATTTTAACAGCCCATTGACATCAATGGATAGATCTTCCATACAAAAAAATCAACAAGAAAACAGCAGCCTTAAGTGACACTCTAGACCACATCAGTTGCAGGTTCAACTCCACCCCTGTCAGGGTGCAGAAGGCAAACAATCGATGTGTCTTTCGCACATCAGTGTTTCTCTCTCTCTCTCTCTCTCTCTCCCCGCTTTTCTCTCTCTCTCCCTTACTGCCTCCCTTCCACTCTCTCTAAAAATCAATGAAAAAATATCCTCAGGAGAGGATTAACAACAATTTAAAAAATGGTGGTACATATTTACAATGGAATGTTACTTAGGCATAAAAAAAGAATGAAATTTTACCATTTGCAACAGCATAGATAGACCCACAAGGTATTATGCTCAGTGAAATAAATCAGTCAGAGAAAGACACATACCATATGATTTCACTGATTGTGGAACCTAAAGAATAAAATAAGCGAACAAACAAAATTGAAACAGACCCATAGACAGCAAACGGGTGGTTACCAGAGGGGTAGGATTTGAGGAACTGGGTGAAAGAGGTGAAGGGATTAAGAAGTACAAATTGGTAGTTACAAAATAGTCTCAGAGATGTAAATAAAACATAGGGAATATGTCAACAGTATTGTGATAACTATGTATGGTGCCAGTTGGGATACTGGAAATATCTAGGGAAATACTATGTAAAGTGCATATATGTTTGTAGCTACTGAGATGTACACCTAAAACCAATACAAAATAAAAGTAGGGGGAAAATCTCTCTCTCTCTTTTTTTAAGAAACCTGATAACTACCAATTTTGTGAGAGTGGTTTTCCTACAATAGTGTCCATCAACACCATCCAGAGGCTTGTTGAAGCACAATTTACTGGGCCTCACCCCCCAGTTTCTGATTCAGCATGTCGGGAGTGCTGTTCAGAATTTGCATTTCTACAAGGTTTCTAGGTGATGCTGCTACTAGTGGTCAGGGTCCATGCTTGGAGAGCCAATGTTGTATGAGAACCATATTATAAATCATTTGTTAGCTGATCGAAGCGTTCTTTTCCAGCTTAGCTAGTATCTTTGGAAAAAACAAGTATAATCATGAGAATAATCTATTGCAATTATCATCAAATTTTGACTCCTGATATAATTGTTTCCACCTCACCCTGTCTTCTATGTGGTTTACAATCTCTCTTTTAAAATTTGTTTTTATTGAGATAAAATCCATATACCATAAAATTCACCATTTTATCATTTTAGTGTAAAATTCAGTGGTTTTTTACTGTATGTATTTAGAGAATTATGTAACCATCACCACTATCTGATTCCAGAACATTTTCATCACTCTAAAAAAATCCCATACTCATTAAGTAGTCATTCCATACTTTCTCCTCCTCCCAGATCCTAATCTACTTTCTATGGTTTACCTCTTCTAGGCATTTCATATAAGTGGAATTATATAAAACATGGTCTTTTGTGGCTAACTTCTTTCACTTACATGTTCTCAAGCTTTATATCAGTATTTCATTTCTTTTTATGGTGGAGTAATATTCTATTGTATGAATATACCAGATTTTGTTTAGCCATTCATCAATTTATGGACATTTGCGTTGTTTCAACTTTTTTTTTGTTTTTATGAGCAATGCTGCTATGAACATTCATGCACAAAATTTTGTGTGAATGTATGTTTTCAATTCTCTTGGTTATATATGGAGGAGCAGCTGATATTTCTTTTATCTTTATGTTAACTCCCCCATTATAGATGTATTATTTATTGTAAGCTATATAAATCCTTTGTGAAAGTCAATGAGAAGTAATATGCATTCATTCATTCATCCTTTCGAGTCAACCAATAATTTACTGTGGACTTATTCTATGCCAAGAACTATTGCCAGCATTCCATGTACATCATCTCATTGACTTATCACAACAACCATCATAAAGTTATCAACTTTATTTTATATGTGAAGGAACAGAGAAGCAGGAAAGCTTAGTAATTCTCCAAACCACCCGGGTAGTAACTGGTGGGACAGAACATTGAACCTACGATCTGCCAGCCATGCTCTTTTCTTAACTCTATGCTGCCTCTGTGAGGAAAAATTAGGAAAATAGATGAATAAACCTCTGTATTTTATTTATTATTAATGCCTAAGGGCAATGTTCTTCCAAACAGCAAATCCATGACTGTTAGTGTTAAGGCTGTTCCTAATTCTAACCTGGAAACGCCTGTTCTTTTTGTGAACATTGTCTTAATCTTTTGTCCTGCATTCTGAAATCCAGTTTACTATTTTTAAAAAATGTATACTTTTATTGATTTCAGAGAGGAAGGGAGAGGGAGGAGATAGAAACATCAATGATGAGAGAATCATTGATCAGCTGCCTCCTGCACACCCCGCCTGGGGATCGAGCCCACAACTCGGGCATGTGCCCTGACTGGGAATCAAACCATGACCCCCTGTGCCATAGGTTGGTGCTCATCCACCGAGCCACACCAGCCGGGTCCAATTTACTCTTGACTCTTTAACTCTTGATTGCCTTCAATACTTATTATTCAATGAATTTAATTTAAATGTTTTTATGATGACTTTGCATTGAGTTTGGTAAGGTAACATACTAATGTTTACGTAAAATGGAATAAGTCATATCCTCTGGAATTTTAGATTTGGAAATAGGGTTCTATTTCAAACTGGGAAGATTATAGAAGTCATAGAATCCAGTACCTTTAATTGATAAATGAGAGCAGTGAGGCCAGAAGGATTGTGCTATATCCAAGATGCATTAAAACATGAGTATGTATCAGGCACCTCTAGATGCTGAGGACAGTGTCATTACACAAACAGCAAAGTCGCTTCCCTGCACAGAGCTAAGGTCTGGTTAGGAAAACAGGTAATAAATAAGTTTACAAATAAATACATGGTCACTTCAAAGACCACAAATGCCATGAAGATCAGACCGCAGGGTGATGGAATGGTCAGTGACTCGGGGATGCTATTTGGGTACAGCATGGCCTCTAAGGAAATGATCTTTGAACTGAAACCTGAATGACTAAAGGAAGCAGTCATGTGAGGATCTGGGGACACATGGTCCAAACACAGAGAACGGGGAGGGTAAAAGTTCCGAGGTGGCAATGGGCGCATTGTGTTGCAGGCTTAACAGGCATCTCCAACTCTACATTTAAGAACAAAGCTTGTGCTCTCGGCTCTTCACCTCTAGACCAGTACCAACGCCGGCCAGTGTGGCTAGAGCCAATGTGGTCTCCAAAGTGGAGTGCTCCACCCTATGGGACACCAGAGCCCAAAGTATGGGTGTTAGAAGAAACTGTTGCAATTTCTTTTTTCACTTATTTTTATTGTATACTTTGTAATTTCTATGATTTTATATGCTTTCTATTACATATAATACTAATACAGTGGTAAATACATATAATTTACAAATACATGCATTATATATAATGGGAGTATACATTCAAAAAATGTACTGTGTATCTGTGTCGACCACTGGGTCAGTGGGCAAGGAGAAGAGGGGAACAGATGGAGGTCCTTGTAGATCATGCTAAGAGTTTGGTTTGTTCTCAGTGCCATGGGAAGGCCTGGAGGGTTTTGAGCAGGGAGTGCAGGATCTGAGCGTTCTAGCTGCTGTGTGAAGGAGAGACGGAAAGGCAACAAGGCTGGAAGCAGGGAGCCAGTTAAGGAGCTATGGCAGAAATCGGGTGGGAGAACATGGAGAGCGGGACAAGCATGTTAGTGGGAATGAAGGAAAGTGGCTGGATTCAGGATATGTTTCAGAGGGTGAGTTATAGGACTTGATTGTAGGCTGGAGGTGTGAGAAGGGGTTGCATCAAAGAAAGGAATGAATGAAAAAATAACTACTACAGGTTTTGGTTTATGCAACTGGGAGATCCACGGTGCCATTTACCAATTTGAAGAAGATGGGAGGGGGTACTGGTCTAGAGGTGAAGAGCCGAGAGCACAAGCTCTGTTCTGAAATGTAGAGTTGGAGATGCCTGTTAAGCCTCCAGGCAGCGCTGATGAGTTGACCTGAGGATACTGGAGCCTAGATGTGTGGGGAGAGGTAGGTGCTGAACCTAGGTCTCCTGGCCCTGCTCTGTATGTTCTTCCACAGTTCCAGTTGCTCCCAGAGTGATTCAGTCTTTTAAGTAAATAAATAAATAAGTAAGTAACAAACTAATAATCTAGAATCTACAAACAAATATTGTGAGTAAATTAAATGTAAATAGTTTAACCTACTTTGGATTAAGTAGGAAAACTAAGTTAAATTCAAAACCGTTAATGACAACTCTTGCGGATCACAGTCTTACTTAATTGACTGAATGATGGCCATGCTCCCCTTCCCGGAACCTCCCACAGTCACATTGTCTCCGTTTTCTACAGGCCCCTTTTTCAGTGGTTTTATTTCCCTTCACCGAGAGAGGGTCATGCTCTACAAAGAGTGAGAGTACTATCAAGGAGCTTTCTAAACATAAAGCGAGTCCTATACAAAAAAAAAAACAAACAAACAGACAAAAAAACATTTCTTAGTCTTGATTTGTCCAAGTTATCTTTCTTTTTTTTCTTAATCCTCACCTGAAAATATGTTAGAGAGAGAAGAGAGAAACATTGATATGAGAGAAAAACATGGATCAGTTACTTCCCATACACACCCTGGCCAGGAATCAGACCCTCAACCTTTTGGTATACAAGACGATGCTTAAACCACCTGAGCCACTAGGCCAGGGTGGCCAAGTTATCTTTGAATCTCTTCACACCTTCCAAAGTTACAGAAAACTTTGATTGCCAAAACAGTAAATAGAGGCAAACTTAGATGTCTTCTTTTTCACTCAGATCAGGATTTCTCAGCCTCGGCACTATTGACACTTAGTGCTGGTTGGTTCTTGTTATGGGACACGGTCCTGTGCATCGTAGGATGTTTAGCAGCACCTCGGTCTCCACCCCCTAGTGCCAGTAACAATCCCACACGTGCTTGTGACAACCCAAAATATCTCCAGACGTTGCCAAATATCCCTGGCTGGAGGGAGGGCTGTAAAATTTCCCCAAGTTGAGAACAACTGACTGGGAGAAAAGAGATAACCCTGGACTGCACTGATCTGTCATCACTTCTATTTCTAAAAATAAAAACTACAGAAGGAAGGGATTAGCTTGCAAATACTAGATGACTGGGTAGTGAGTAAACAGCCTCTTATCTTTTAGAGAATAGTATAGGCTATTAAATGTCTTTTCACTGCAGAGATATAAGCCTAGGTGATCTAGGGAAAACGTAGGCTCCAACCTTAAATTGCCTTGGAGCGCCTGTTTTCCAGCTGTGGAGAGAAGGGGCAATCTCCTGCCTTCCCTTAGCTGAGTGAGCTACCTCCCACTTGGCCAGAGTACTGGGCGGTTTCCAGGGTTAAAGACTCACTGCTGTACTCTGGTCCACAGTAAGTGCTCAGTACATGTTTGTCATATGAATGAATGAATGAATGAATGAATCCTCTTTGAAGAATACAGTTAGTGCAGTTCACCTCCTGAAGACCCTGTGTGCCCTCTGGCTAGTCTGGCCAGGTGGTCTGTGTGTTTCTGTATGCAGACTCTGCCCCAGATCCCACCAGGCCCAAGAGGAGTCACCTGCCGGGAGGTCAGGAAGGGAGGAGCTGTGGGTGGGGAACCTGGGTGGACCAGCCCACAGGCCTCCTCCCAGGAGTCTATGCGCTCTTCTCTTCTCTGTACAGAAAACTGGCCCATCGTGAAGAGCCTGACCTTGCCAGCCCTCTCCCTGCCCATGAAGCTGGTGAGCCTAGAGGAAGCTCAGGCCCGGAGCCTGGCTACTAACCATCCTGCCCGGAAGGAAAGGAGGGAGAATAGCCTGCCCGAGATCGTGCCTCCCATGGGCACCCTCTTCCACACTGTCCTGGAGTTACCAGACAACAAGTAAGTGGCATTCTTTGCAATTCTGGGAGATGGTTGGGAGGAGGGTTTCAGAGGAGGAAGGAACATGGTCTTGGGGCCATGATGGCCGCATGGGCTGGGGGTGCAGTCTGGGTTGGGGTGTAAGGAAACGTTCCAGAAGAGAAAGGAGCTGTCTCCACAACACTTTCTGTGATCACTGCCCCAGAGTCATCATGACCCTGCTCTCCCACCAGAGATTCTCAGCACCAGGATGGAGGTGGGGCTCAGAGGCATCAAGAGACATGGATAAATCCCTCACTCCTTAGTTTAGACAAAGCAGGCTTGACACTTTCAAAAGGAACTTTACTAACTAACAAACAAACTTGACTCTCTACCCCCACCCTTCACCTCCACAGAACATTGCAAAAGGCATAGAGATGAGTGGAGGACAGCTGACAAATAGTACCACTCTAGACTGGGAGGTCTGGGCATGCGGCACTGGGAGTTGCCATCTCTGGCTTCCACTCCTCCTCTCATACTTTCCAGAGTCCTTCCTCTCCTCCAAACATCATTTAAAATCATAGGATATTTTCTTTCCTTGTTTCTCCTTCTCACTTCCTCTGTTGCAACCCTGGTCTGCACTATCAAGTGCATGTTCTCTGTGCACTTCAACCACACCTGAGTGGCACCATACCCCAGTTTAACCCACCCTGTCAAATCCACCCCAAGGCCAAGTGCTTGAAAAAACCCGACCAGATCCAAAGAAACCACCCAGCACTGCAGGTCTCTCTGTGATTGATGGTAAAACATGCTGGGCTGGAGATCTGGGTGCTCGGTGAGAACCCTGTGGAGAAAAGGTTCCTTGTGGAGCCGAGACTTGCAGGGTTTCATCCCGGAACTTGATGAAGTCTGAATGCTGGGCTGAGTCAGAGCTAAGCAAGGTGTCTGTGGTGACCCCTGGTGGTGACCCCTGGTGGCACCAGGCTCCTGGGATGGAGTCCAGCACTGTCATTTCCCCGCCTCCTACTGAAGCGGCCTGGTACCAGGCATCAGGGAAATGAGAGACACACTGACTACCCTGGGCATTGCTCTGCAGTGACCACTAACCACACCCAGCAGCCTGCCACTCTCCCAGGCCAGACTCTTTTGCACATTGCTTTCTCATACACCCCCTCTGTGGTCCATGAAAGTCTTCACAAGCTCTTTTCTTACCTGTGGATGTGACAGCAGTGTGGTCCACAGTGCAGGGAGCATACCAGGACTGAGCTCCATGGTCTTTAGTGTTTACTCCTGTAAAACATAGGGACCTCTGAAAACCCATGACTAAAGTGCTTACCAGAATTCCTCCCAGAATTCCCAGAACTGTGTGGTTGCTTGTGACCTCTGGGTCTCCCGTCAATCCTTGCCTCTGTGTGCCCCACCACGGCCTTTAATGGCATGCCTCTGCCCATTTCTCTGGGGAATGTGGTCCTTTGTGCTGTCTCATGAAAGCCTCGCTTGGTCATCTAGGGCATCCCCGGACAGGATGAGAGTCAGGCTCAACTTGGGTTTTAGAGGGGAATTTCCTGAAATGTCCAGGCCATTCATAACTAGAATGTGTTTGGGTTATTTCTTCTCAAGTTAAAAGCTGCCTTGAAATGACTAGTTACGAAACTAACCCCATATGGCTTGGCTCTTGTAGAAGAAAGCTCTCCAGTAAATCAAAGAAGTGGAAATCAATATTTAATCTGGGACGTTCTGGATCAGACTCCAAGTCCAAGCTGAGTAGAAATGGGAGCGTGTTTGTGAGAGGACAGAGGCTCTCAGGTAAGAATCGGCGGCAGTTGTGCTGATGAGATATTTCCCCCCTAATTCTGCTCTGTAAGTCTTTGGTTTGATCACATTAAACTCACTAGCTCTGAAAGAGAAACTTATACGTTAACTAGAGAGTCTTTCTGGTTTTGTTTTGTTTTTAGATAATTTTAGATTTACAAAAAAAGTTGCAAAAGTAGTACTCAGAGGACCCATATGCTCGTCACGCAGCTTTCTCCAATTTTAAAAAATATGTATTTTTATTGAGTTTAGAGAGGAAGGGAAAGGGAGAGAGAAATAGAAACATCAATGATGAGAGAGAATCATTGACCAGCTGCCTCCTGCATGGCCCAGTGTATCAAGGCCACAACCTGGGCATGTGCCCTGACCAGGAACTGAACTGTGACCTCCTGGTTCATAGGTCGGATGCTCAACCACTGAGCCACACCAGCCGGGCAGCTTTTCCAAATTTTAACATGCTACATCACCATAATTATCAAAGTCAGATAATTAATATCTATATGACACTATGAAGTATCTTACAAACTTTATTCATATTTGGCCAGTTGTTCCACTCGTGTCCTTTTTCTAGTCCAGGACCCCGTCCAGGAACCCACATTTCATTGAGCTGTCCTGCTCCTTAATCTCCTCCAATCCAGAGCAGTTTGTCAGTCTTTCTGACCTTGACTGGCCCTGTATTTTGTAGAATAGACCTAAGTTCGGGTTTGCCTTATATTTTCTTATGGATAGAGGTTATGAAGGTTGTGCATATCTGTGTGTCAGATCAGGAGGCAGACAATGTCAATACATTATGGCTGGTGATGTTAACTTGATTAAGCACTGTCTACAAGATTTTGTCCCTATCAAGTTACGGTTTTATTCCTTTGCGATTAAGAAGTATCTTGTGGGAGATATTTTGAGATTTTGCAAATATCCTGTTTCTTATCATACTTCCATCCATGAATTTTAGCATCCATCAATGGATCTTGCCTACAACAGTTGTTACTGTGATGTTTGCCAAATGGTCATTTTCTATTTTCATTATTCCTCCTACATTTATTAGTAAACTCTAACATAAAGAAGATCTGTCCCTTCTCCCCAGAGTCAAGGTCATGATTTTTAAATAGAGATGGAAATCATATTTGAGTAGTGAATAGAAATTGATACAGGAATGAATCAAGGGACCCACTATGCAAAGGGGGATATAACCAATCCAGGTAAATATCATGTCAAAAAGGGAAGACCAAAGAAATTTGCCATAATGATGTTATAGATTAAAAGTATGATTTTTTAAGATGGGGACAATAGTTATAAAAAACAAGTTGTAAAAGGTAAATGTACAAATGCAGTGAGCAAACCTTTATTGGATCCTAATTTGAAAAAAAAAGACTACAAAAGATAATTTGGGGGATGAATACACTGAATATTAGAATTGTTAATTTTCATAGTATGCTAATGGTTCTTAGAAGACATGTGCTGAAGTTAAAGTATATAAGAAGAATGAAATGTCACAATATTGAAATTCACTTTTGAATGATTCAGTAAAATATAGGTATGTAAGGTAGATATAGATGTAGAAATCAATAAAGCAAATGCATGATAAAATGTCAGCCATTGGTATCAACCAAGTGGTAGATTTAGAGCTCAACTTTTGTGAATGTTTGAAGTTTTTAATAGTAAAGATTTGGGGGAAAATTAATGCCTCTAGGGAAAATAAGAGAGAATGTTTTTAAGGACTTTCTTTGATCCCAGTGATAACCAAATGCCAAGGATGATAAAGCACAGGTGTTTGAAATCTTCTCTTTTGTCTATTGGAGTAATGAGGATGTCACAGGGTATAGCAGCTACAGTGGTTAAGGTTGTAAAATAATAGTAGGTCCAACTCAATTGGTTTATGCAATGAAGGAATCTATAGGGACACCCAGATGCAAGGAAGGTTTCAGGGACAACTCTGTCTCCATCTCCATGTTTTCCTCAGCTGTACCCTGTGTCAGCTTCATTCCCAAACTGGCTTCCTTTGCTGCAAATAAGTAGTTGAGCTGTAGTTGTTCTGGGCTTTATCTGTGACTATCACGGAGAAAGAACATCATTTATTCTAAACAGGGACCCTGTTTTTCCAGGAACCTCCATCATGCTCCCCCTATCTCAGTAACAGTCACTGAGTCACATGGATCGATCCCTATGGCCAAGGGAGTGCTCTGTGCTGATTGGCTTGGGCCTGGGTTCCTGCACCAGTGACTGCCATGAGGAATGGGCTTACATTCAGATGCACCTAAGAAGGACAGGGCTCTGTGAGAAGGGGGAAGGGAAATGGATTCTGGGTAGGCATCTAAAATATGCAGGATATGGGGAAACGTGTCTTTTATAAACTACCCTGGAAAGATAGTCCAGGTAAAAAGGGCAGGTTGCCACAGGTATGGTAGATCAGATACAAAGCAAAAATTAGGATTCTCAAAGAAGAATTTAAGGGGAAGAGTATCTGGCAAGAAATTCCTTATCTATTATAAGAGATTTGCTTACGCACATCAAAGAGAGAATTTCGGTTACAGAATCGGTGATACAATAAAAGAGGTTCACCAAATAATGAAAAGTTAAAAACAACAGAACAAAACAACAAGCAAAAAAATAAATGCTTTGCCTTGATGTTGACTTAGGAAGATGTCCACCCCCATGTGGTTTCCAAAAGGAAGAAGTCCAAGCGGGGGCGGGGGGGGGGGGTCAATGGTGGTAAACTCACAGACGCACAGCATGTCCCTGGCCAGGGCTTCTCAGCATGGCTGCCCCTCCGAATCGCCCACGGGGTGGTTCTCGCCCACAGCAGCTTTGCCTCAGGAGTTCTGTGGTGACATCAGAGCACTGGTCATTTCTAACAAGCTCCCAGGTGATATGCAGCCAGGGCTGAAAACTGCTGGATTAATATCTCATAAACAAACTAATCAGAGATAGATCATCAAACTGGCTGCATTTTGATAGGATGCAGGGATGAAATGAAAGAACCATCTGTGTTAATGCAAGTGGCTCTCTGTTACCTTGACTATTGCCTATGTGGCCACTTTTCATCAGAGAAATGTTGCTGGAACCCTAAACACTGAAGACTGGGGTGGGAGTGGGGGAGTTTATGATCATAATCCATCAGTGTGGTCTCCATAAGTGGCATGTGGACTTGCTATTTGTTGAAATATGAACATGAAAAAAGTGAATCAGTGGAGTAATATATTTAAATACATTTTTAATCTTTTCCATAACTAAAGAAAATTTAAAAATCGATTCATCGTGAATAGCATTGGACATTTTTTTTGATGGGGGGACAGCAGGTAAAGGGGTGTTTACCCATATTTAGAGAATGGAAATAAAATAAGAATAAGATAAATTGGGGTATTGACAGAATGAAGATGCATCGAGGGGTATACTGGGATTTGTATATCATCAAACAGAAGGACTCCAGGGAGCCCTCCAAAATGAACTCCTTTGAGTGGGGAAAATCCCAAAGTCCTGAGGATAATCTAAGAGGGAACTCAAGGACCTAAAGACTGCCAGGTGCCTGGCAGAAAAATATAATATAAATATAGCCATGAGCCCTAGCTGGTTTGGCTCAGTGGATAGAGTGTTGACCTACGGACTGAAAGATCCCAGGTTTGATTTCTGTCAGGGGCATATGCCTGGGTTGTGGGCTTGATCCTCAGTGTGGGGCATGCAGGAGGCAGCCGATCAATGATTCTCTCTCATCATTGATGTTTCTATCTCTCTCTCCCTCTCCCTTCCTCTATGAAATCAATAAAAAATATATAGAAATAGAGCCATGGGCCAAGGAGCCCTGAGTGCTTAGTTTCCATCCAGAAAAGGGGCCAGGGAATCCTTGGTGACTGTTCCCCAAAGCAGCTGCTGTGGCCACCAAGCCCCAAGGAGCTGCACCATCAGAAAGAGGGTCCAGAGTGAAAGGTGGACACCGATGGCCCTGCGACAGCAGTGTTCTCAGCCTCCAGGACACTCGGGGTCATGAGGTCACTGCCCCTCAGGCTGACCTGGGAAACAGCGGAAGTCCAGAAGTGCAGCTCCCGAAACAAAGGGAAAAGGTTGTTTCAGGATACACGAGCAAGGCTCACTGGCCAGGCAGTGTGAGGACAATCATCAGTTTGTAACTTGTGAAAATAACAGGTCTTTGAAGGATGAGAATTCTGGCTTAGTGTGAGATGTGAGGAGGTTGAAGGCCATCTTGCCATCACCAAGGGTTTGAGTGAGGATGGCTGGGTCCTCCCCCAGCACACGGGCCTCAGGCAGAGAGAGGCCACAAGCCCGGGAGGCCAAGGGCCAATGCGGAACCTCCAGAAGGAGCTGGCTTTGGAGCAAGGAGGAAAAGGGGGAATCTTTAAAAGAGGGGCAAAGTCCAATTTGGGTTAAGGCCAACTCTGAGTGCTTCTGGAACCATCCCCCAGTTTCCCTTTTATTGCTGAACCCTGGTCTATTCTGAATAACAACAACAATAACAGTAGCTACTTTGTATTGAGCATCTACCCTATTCTAGGTTAGTACAACCTACTTATTTCATATGCATTACTCATTTACTCCTCTCAGCAGCTCTATTTTTCACTTTACATGTGAGAAAACTGAAGGTTAGGAAAGGTAAGCTGCTTATCTGAAGTCACAGGCCCAAAATGGCAGAGTTGGGATTCAAAGCCAGATCTGTCTGAATTCAAGTTTCTTTACATGAGTTCTGGGGCTCCCATTGAGCTTCCAAACTGCCCTCTTTCCCCTGGAGCAAACTTGACCTACTAGTAGAAGGAAAGACCTTCCAGATAATTCACCTCCCTGAAAAGAGATGGTATCTGTGAAAGTGCCTAATCCTGAGCCTGGAATACGTTTTTACTTATTTAAGCCACACTCTTCCAAAAACTTGCTTAGGTGGCTTACAACGATGCAGAGTCCACCAGGCACATAGTAGGTGCTCATATTAAATGTTTGGTTGGGTGTCATCTGCTCCAGCGTGAGGTTGGTGGGTGACATCTCAAAGAGCAAAGCTGCACCTGGGAGAAAGGTGACCGACCAGGTCCCCCGGGCCCTCTCACCTGTTGTACCAAATTCTTCATCGGTGCTGAGAGATGAGGCTTTGGCCAAGACTCCTGCTCCCTGGCCTGTCACATAGGAGGGGCTGCCTGGAGCCGCATGGATTCTACCCCATAACTGAATCTTTGAATCCTTGATGTACAGCAACATTGGGCTTAGGACTCCTCATTTGCTGATAGCTAGTATTGGGGCAAAGTTATAATTTACCTTTATCTGTATAATGTTAATAAAACTTTGATCGACAGATGCCTTGTCCATTCCAATCAGAAAGTAGGAACATCTAGGTGGAGTGGGGGATGTTTTCCAAAGGGGAATATTATAAATACTTGGAAAACTTTGCTAAAGAAACTTTTCTTGTGTGCTGACAGTGCGACCTATTGTTCTGAATGCTTCCTCTTACTATGCCTTCAACAAGGATATTTTTTTTCTTTTGTCTCTAGTGGAAAAAGCTACTATCCGGCCAGCCAAAAGCATGGACTCGCTGTGCTCAGTGCCCGTGGAAGGTGAGGTTTTACAGCGGTGTTTGGAACTGGCGATTACAGCTGGGAGACTGGAGTTGCCACACCAGACTTGCCTTCATAAGCTGCTGGGCCTGCTCTCTCCAGTCACGCGGTCATGCACAATCACCCAGTCCCATCCCTCCCTGGCTTTTTCTGAACTCAAGGGGTTCACATAGCCCTTGCATTAACTCCCCTAAAGGGCCATCCTCTTTCTCCAGCCTTCCTCTAACCACAGATGGAAACGACAGCTATTTTACATTCACACCTGAACCCGGTTAAAGGTCAACATCTGAAATCCAAGGCTTCTCCCTCAGGCATAGAAAAGAGCCAGGCACTGGTTTCTACCTCAGAATTTTGTGCCTCGGTACTTACGTAGTATGTGTCTTGAATTTGTGTGTTTCCACAGACATTAGCTTTCTCATTGTCAAGTCATGATTTTGAATCGGTGGTTTCATTCATTCGTCAATAAACATTGATAGGCACCAGCCTGGCATGGCGCTGGTCATCCCTTTTTGGAGTAGATGAGTACACAGTTGCATGCAAGGTGACACCGACTATCAAAGCGACACCTCACCTCCTTGGTTCTTACAGCTGTAGCCGTCAGGGCTGACTTGCCTGTACCTCTCTCTCTGCTAAGCAGCCCATAGCACTGCCACAAGGGCTTCCCTGGCAGAGGCAAAACTCCCCACATTTACCCCATGACTTTCCAACCCCTTTAATAGAAAACGTTTTGCTCTTTGATAAATGAAGCAATCTGAAATAATATAGAAAACCTTTAGAACAACTTTTAAAAATAATTCTCAACTTTGTAAAATACTCAACGAACTCCTTTTAAACTGACTCAATACTTTCATCATTTTCTCGCCTGTATAGTCATCCATTTGCTTTGGTCTTTGAAACCTCTTGAGGCAATTCATGCCCAGTTTTACAGAATTTAACATTTCAAAAGCCAGGTCAGCACTTTCATGGGTGTTGGGCAGGTTACCGAACCCCTGGAGTCTCCATTTCCTCAGGTGTGAGAGAGAATTGCACTTCCCCCGTGGAGTGGTCGTGAGAATTTTAAACCTAAGGTTACACATCCAGCAGAGCGCTCGGGACCTGGCTGGGAATTACTCGCCAGATCCCAGGCAACTCACCTGTCATCTCCCAGCTTCTTTACTTCCTGTACAGGTTCTTTCTTTCTTTGTCTTCCTTCCTCAGCCCGTCAGGAACTCACTCCTCAGGACTGGGCTCTGTAAGGTTGAGTGCATTTGCATTCCTAGTGTCTCATCCTCCCATCAGCCGGAGGAAGCCCGGGAAAGGGAGAGAGGTCTAGCTGAGAACAGCATTTGTTTCCTTGCCTGGGAATCAAACCCCTGTCTGGGTCCACCTGCCAGAGGAGGCGTAAAACGATAAGTTTCAAAGCAAAATAAGATTTTTTATTTTGCCCTCTCAGTCTCCTTCCTTTTGAGCAAACATCATTCTGTCCGCTCCCACCCATCTTTTTATTTTCATGATCTACATGTGATGCTTGGAGGGTGACTGCTCTGTTTAGCAATCTTGGCAGTGGCCTTCTTTTGGAAACGGCTCTCCCTGCGAAGTTGAAAGCAGACACATGTAACACACACAGCAAGTGGCCCTGTCAGGGCCTCCTAACAGAGCAGGCGCATGAGAAGATGCTTCCTATCTCGTCAGCCGGAGGTTCTGAGCCTGTCCTCCTCATCGGGATGCTGTGCCCTCATTAGGATGCTCTGCCTTTCCCATAGGCAGTGCCTTCTCTTACCAGCTGCTGACCGTGTATTTGCCTGCTTTTTCACTAGGGAAAGAGACCAAAGGCAATTTCAATCGATCAGTCGCCACCGGTGGATTTTTTATTCCAGCCACGAAAATGCACGCGACCAGCATTGGCAGCTCTTGTGACCTCACCAAGCAGGAGGGTGACTGGGGCCAGGAGGGGATGCCGGCGGGGGCCGAGGGGGGCTTTGACATGAGCAGTGACCGAAGCCAACTCCAGGGCGCTCAGGCCCGGCCCCCACCGGAGCAGCTGAAGGTGTTCCGGCCCATCGAGGATCCCGAGAGTGAGCAGGCAGCCCCGAAGATGCTGGGCATGTTCTACACCTCGAACGACAGCCCCAGCAAGTCCGTCTTCACCAGCAGCCTCTTCCAGATGGAGCCTTCACCCCGACACCAGCGCAAGGCGCTGAACATCTCCGAGCCCTTTGCCGTGTCCGTCCCGCTCCACGTGTCGGCTGTCATCAGCACCAACAGCACCCCGTGCCGGACACCCCCAAAGGAGCTGCAGTCTCTCTCCAGCCTGGAAGAGTTTTCTTTCCAGGGGTCAGAGAGTGGAGGCTGTCCTGAAGAGAAGCCCCCAGGAGCCGAGACTTCTGCAGGTAACGTGGGGGAGGGGAGGGCTCTCTTTCCACTGCAGGAGATTGAAAACCAGCCTCACATTTGCTTACACAGAGTTTGCAAGAAAGTGCAGCAAAGTGGCTCAGACTGTGGGCTCCGAGCCAGACCATCTGTCAGGAAGCTGTCAATCACAATCACAAACCATCTTTGTAGATAACAGATTTCTGTGACCTTAGGCTACAGACTTGACGTCTCAGGGTCTGAATTGACTTGTGTGTGAAGTAAAAGGTGGGGTTACGCAGATTTTCTCAGCCTCAGCACTAGTGACATTTGGGCCTGGGTAATTCTTTTCTTGTGGGGGACTGTTCGCTACTTTGTAGGATTACTTAGCAGCATCCATGACCTCTACCCACTAGATGCCATTAACCACTCCCACCACCCAGTTATGGCAACCAAAAATGTCTCCAGACATTGCCAAATGTCCCCTGGGAAGGGGAGAGGCACAGTGGTCTCCAGTTGAGAAGCACTGAACAGAGGACCTCCCATCTCTGACGGTCTGCAACTCTGGGATCTGAACACAGGACACGGCTAGGAGGGAAGGGTGGAGAGTGTGAGAGAGCAGTGAGCTGGGAGGATGCCCTCCACCCTTGGGAAGCAGGATTCATCCAGGTCAGTGATTGTGCTGGGAACAGCCTTTCTTAAAACGAGCTGTCAGTCTCTTTCAACCCATAACTCGCATCCTCATTGCAGCTTCGGTACCTAAGAAGGTGGCTCTGGAGGATGCCAAGCCAGGGCCAGGAGCAGCGAGGACAGTGGAATGCAGCAAAGGCCTTTCTCTGGAGCCAGGAGCCCAACTGGAGGAGAAGAAAACCTCAGAAATCCCCCTGAGCTGTCAACATTCCAGTGACTTGGAGAAGAGGCTGGATCCAGAGAAGGTGGTGGAGGAGGCGCCAGAGGCTGGCCAGGTGGAGCCCAGTGCTCCGCAGGAGGGCCCCATGGCCAGAGCAGAAGTGGTGTTTCTCCATGAGATGGTAAGGTGGAACCTCTGTCGGTCCAACCAATAGTTCTCTTTTTCCCAAGGGCTCTTAGAAAAGCTTAGTTTTTTTGTTTGTTTGATTGTTTGTTTGTTTTGAAGAACCAGTGTTGGCCAAAGGGATTTTAGGAGACAACCTTTTAATCAGATCTTGGGATTTATTTTTGCAGGGATCCTATAATAATGGGAATAACCATCCAGCTCAGGTTCCCTAGGAAAGACTCAGTGCTAAATATTTCTGACCTGAAGTCACCATAAACCAGTAATATGCCCTGAGATTGTAATGACATTCAATCCCAGAAGCAGCACAAAATCTGCTTGTCGTATCCTGGTCCCAAAGATGATGACCATTCATGGAGCCAGCTCTCTCCTTCCTGACATCCTGGGTAGATAGTGTCTATGTTTATAAAATCTTCTCTAATATTTCCAGACTCCATTCCTTCCTCCTGTGCTTCTAGAGAGGTTAAAGCATGATGCCAGTGCTTACTAAACTTCTTCCACTTGTTTTAAAATATATTTTATTGATTTTTTACAGAGAGGAAGGGAGAGGGATAGAGAGTTAGAAACATCGATGAGAGAGAAACATCGATCAGCTGCCTCCTGCACAGCCCCTATTGGGGATGTGCCCGCAACCGAGGTACATGCCCTTGGCTGGAATCGAACCTGGGACCCTTCAGTCTCTGTAACCTTAGGCTACAGACTTGCCGTCTCAGGGTCTGAATTGACTTGTGTGTGATGTGATAGATGGGGTTACGCAGGTTTTCTCAGCCTCAGCACTAGTGACATTTGGGCCTGGGATGAAGGTATGAGGAGGTTTTCCATGGAGCAGTCCTGCATTTGGGAGGCTCTGTGACCTGGAGAGTGCATCAAAGGGGATAGGCAGCCCTGGCCGGTGTTCCTAAGTGGTTAGGGCACCAGCCTGCACACCGAAGGGTTGAGGGCTCAATTCCCAGCCAAGGGCACATACCTGGGTTGCAAGTTTGTTCCCCAGCTCAGAATCCATGTGGGAAGCAACCAATCAATGTGTTGCTCTCACATGAGTGTTTCTGTCTCTCCCTCTCCTTTCCACTCTCTCTAAAAACCAATGGGAAAAAAATATCCTCGGGTGAGATATACTAGTATACATATAAATATATATATACTAGAGGCCCGATGCATGAAAATTCGTGCAGGAGTAGGCCTTCCTTCCCCCAGCTGCTGGCACCGGCTTCCCTCCGGCACCCAGGACCTGGACTTACCTCCTCCGGCCGCTGGCAGGCACCCAGGACCCAGGCTGGCTTCCCCCCCATCCCTGGCTTCGTCAGGAAGGATGTCTGGAAGACGTCTGGTCTAATTAGCATATTACCCTTTTATTATTATAGGTAGATATATATATGTGTATATCTACACTAATAAAAGAGAAACATGGTAATTGGCGTACGACCGCTACCCTTTTCATTGGCTAATCAGTGAATATATGCAAATTAACT